GAACTTGCTACGTCCGGGTCATTTCTAGACGATGGTTCTCGATCTGGTTCAGACAGTAGAAAGATGGTTTTTATCTTTTTTTCATACAATTACGTTTATCAATTTACAAATGTTTTAGATAAGCTAAAATTGTTTTGATTAAGTTAGAATTGCTCAACAATTGCTTCCATTAAGCTAAAATTGTTCTATACCTATACAAATAGATAGTTAGATTTTTATTAACTCTTAGGCGAGACTTTTTTTATTTATTGGTTTACGGATTTGACTTTAAAAAAAAACAGGTCGGAAGATAGTTAAGAAAAAAACACACTGAGTATATTTAAAATCGATGTTTTTATCTTCTAAACATTTAACTTCTACTCGGAAAAACGTGGCTAATCTCCACATTTATCATCACAACCAGCGTTTCCAATTTGTAAAAATCCCAAGTAAGCTCCCAAACTATCCCGGTATTACCACTTTTTTTACGTCATTATAAAGATTTTATTTTAAGAGCAATATGCTTGCATAATTCTTCCTATATCATGCATGAATCTGACAAACACATAGCACAGCATGAAGTATAGGACGTAACTGAATCTTCATTATACTCTCGGTATTTTCTTAAGTTTGCCGTATAATTTGAAGACAAAACAATTTTGAAGCACTGGATTTGTTTGAATAAATTATACTACAAGATAACTTATGCGTTTTTAAACAGACCATTGGGATTGTGCAAATGATCAGCCGATCCCAAGGTTATTTTCGCCAAACTTCAGCCGTGGAGGCAAAATGCCCTGGGGGACGAGGTTATTTTTATTTGTATTTTTATTTTGCTTCTCAAAACGTACCCGAAATCGGGTACGTTTTATAGAAATGTACACACAAGATTCGTTATTATTTAATTAGCCATGTTTTATCTAATAAATATAGGAGGCACAATTCTCAATATTCTTTCGCCAATTTGGGTTTCATTTGTGTAATAATTACAGAATTTTAAGGGAATTCAGTAGAAAAAATTCCGAAAAGTTCAAGCTTTCGACGGAGCAAAGCACATAATTTAAAAGCTGGATGATGTCACTCAATAGCTTTCAAATGATGCATTTTGCTTCAGAAAAGGCACAGGTATACTTGTGGAGACATCGATTTATGACGAAGGGACCGAACAGGCTAAAAACATGCGATTGAAGATCGAAGACAAAATTTTGGAATTAATCGCACTCTTTTGGAACAAACGAGTTTGCAAGGAACACCATTAGAAAATACCAGACCAGTACAATAGACACTTCCCGAATGCGCTTGAATGCACAAGAAAATGTTGCTTTACATGTGTGAACTTTACAGTAGATGTGAACATTTTGTAGTGTGTCTATTGGTATGAACATTTTGTACTTTTTATCTTGTCTGTCTTTTACCACGATATGTTCAAAATAAACCAATTGTCGTTTTTCTCTTGTGAGCTCGCACTAAAATTATGTCTTTGAGTAAGGTGACCAAATCTTGTTTAATCTAGAAATAGGAAAAATATATATATAAGCGATATCAGAATATACAATCAGTAATTTATAGCCGGTTGTTTAAAGACAGCAACTGAAAGCCACGATTTACTTTTAATTAGTAAAACTCAGAGTTGTTAACGAGTCCTATGTTGCAAGTCCAAGTCAAGTCACAAGTCCTTTCCTGCAAGTCCAAGTCAAGTCACAAGTCATTTGGTCTCAGTTCAAGTCAAGTCACAAGTCATTTGGTCTCAGTTCAAGTCAAGTCACAAGTCATTTGGTCTCAGTTCAAGTCAAGTCACAAGTCATTTGGTCTCAGTTCAAGTCAAGTCACAAGTCATTACCTCGGGTCGGTACGACACCGAGGTCTTAAATTCGGCTCCTATTTTTTTTCTTCTTGTTTTCCATTTGTGTCGAGCCGCGCGCGTAGTCGAAGATCGAAGGGCCTGCGGAGGAGACGACAACTTCCGGTAAATAAGTGTACTTCCGGCAAGCATCGGCCAAAGCGAAACGGAACCCGAAGCTGTCCTTGCACAAAATCCGTCAGAATTGTTGATTTAAAACCAGAAGATGTGATAATTTTGACATACATGTTTAGCTGGATAACTATTCTCGAGTATATGTTGATATAATGTACAATACATCGTATGCATAGCATGGGAATACCGCGGCCAACTTTCACTTGTTATCTATTATAATTACTGACCCGAATCAAAAGTAATTATTTTCGGCTGGAAGACTACTGTACGTTGCTGCTTGTCGGGACCGTATGACAATGAACCTTATCCAACGTTACACTAGACATTTGTGAGGACATGCATATAGACATAACCATAGGCACTGTAGTGCATTGTGATAGAACAGATTTCAGTTTAATTAATCGCCCTAAATTAAAATCTCCACAAGCGGAGGTCAATTATAGTGTTCTAGTTTACATATTATCATTAATAATCAGCCTAGTCCCAGTCGTTCTGAAGCAAGCGCGAGAAAAAACGTACGTGGATGTAACACGAGACTGGGACCTAGGTGTGACGTCACCGCTAAAGGTGCTTCAGAACTGCTATCTTCTCTCGCTGAAGCGTTCCGCACAGCACACCCAGGCATAAAACTTTTAAGACTTATTTAAATATATCAAAGCAGCGAATAGAGAGAGAGCCTGGGACTAGGCTGATTAATAATAAGGTTTACTCAAATAGCGTATTGGATAAACACGGGAATAGAACTTATGGTGTATTCTGCACATGCGTATATCTAGGATAAAATCCCACAAGCGCAAACGAAACTATTTCTCTATAAAATTGAACTGAAAAGACTCATAGCGACCGTTTCCAACAGTGCTTCAGGCACCAGACGACACCGTATGGGGGGCCTTTAGCACTGTCACCTTCTCATCTTGGGATGTTCACGTTATCGCGTGTACATGTCAGGGTGACGAAGATGCATTATTGCTAATAATGTCTGTGTGCACTGATGCACGCTGCATTATTTTTAATAATGTTGTGTGCTATTTTAACGCGTACATAGAATATGACGCGTATAAACATTTACCCCTGAGCCGGAATTTCCCTATACAACCAAAAAGGCCGCTCCCGTTTTTCAGTAGAACGGTTAAATGAAAACTTCTCGACATTCGCTGATATAATGCAGAGAGAAAACAATAGGTTTGATGAGGGCCAGTAATTATTATCAATAAAATATTAAAACGGAGCTTTGATTAACTGATTCACCATTTATACTAGTGAACTATTAAACTATCGTGATTTACACAATTTTTAAATATTTACCCAGACGATCCCCTATCCACCGACCCGAGGTTAACGCCGAGTCGGCGTCTTGTTTTGTCTAAATCCAAGTCAAGTCACAAGTCTTTCCGAGTGGCAAGTCAATTCAATTTTACCGCCACATGTGGCCATGTTTTCCCACGCAAAACGGCAAAATATGTAAATATGGCGTCGTTATTTTATGTCAGAAATTTTACCACGACATCGCGAAAAAACCCGCTTTGTCAGAAAATACGCAGGCACAAATTCTGTCGATGCCATTGATATGTACTAAGGTCGTTGCCCAAATTGTACAACACGACGATCGATCGATCAACACAAAGATTTTGGAAAACTTGATTTTCACTAGATATTTACGTTTGACTTGCGTTGGTAACAAGTCATTTCTTGCAAGTCCAAGTCAAGTCACAAGTCATTTTGTCCAAGTTCAAGTCAAGTCACAAGTAATCAGTCTCTTTAACAAGTCAAGTCACAAGTCACAAAAATTGCGACTCGAGTCCAAGTCACACGACTCGAGTCTACAACTCTGGTAAAACTATAAATGAGTTTATTTATATTTATTCTTTATTTCTTCTTATTATTTTGATTTATATTATTATTATCATTTTTTTATTTATTATTTCATTATTTTTTATTTAACACTTTCGATGGCTTTAACGGCATGCAGCGACCTATATATTTATGACTATACATTGTATCCTATTTCTCTGATGATGCCTCTGAAATAGAGTTGAAACACTGTTGCCATGGTAAGAATAATGTTTAAGTGGATAAGCCGGTCAAGAGAAGATTTCGCCTGGGCAGGATATACGTCAGCCCGGTCAGCGCGTTGGATACGCGAGTTCAAGTCCAACTTGAGTCAACTTTATGTTAACAACACAGTGTTGGATTTTTGTCATGAATGAATATATTGTATCATGTTTCTCTGATGATGGCTCTGAAATACAACCACCTATAAGTGACAGTCGTGTGTGACATACCTCAGGAATGTCCATAAGTCTACGTTGTTTGGCGTCTCTCCACGTCCAGTCCAATATGACTGATTTGAGATTGGAAAGTTTCAAGGCACCTATATACAATATTTAACAATCATTTAATGAAGACGTGCATGATGCGAATAATTATTTATTCTTCAGGGAACGGTTCTTGCTTTGCACTCTTTCCTTCATCTCACCTGATTTTATTAGTTTACAAATTCGGTTTGGTGTTCCTACGCCAAGATGCACAACGTTCTTTTCCAGATACGATTCCTGCTCTTCAAGCTATATTAATAGCAAATATCATATTGCACAACACAAATAATCTACTGGATTTTTCTCCGGGCTCTTTTGACATTAATCAAATTATAATTTACAACTGCAGAACAGCGCTATATTTGGTAGCCTGGGTCACCCAAGGCTTGAAATAACTTTCCCAATTGTGGACACGAAGCAGGTTTTCCTCCCTGTCTTTCGCCTCAGGAGCTCTGCGTACAATGTGTTAAAATTAAAACACACATTACAAACCTTAATATGTTTGGAGAATAATTTGATAACTTTGCAAGTGCTTCTAAACTCAGATGTAGCCCTGCAAGAGGAGAATCGGCACATTTTCATCACATTTCATCTAACATATTGGCAGGAAAAATTCGCTGACGCTATTTCTCATGGGAAAATACATGTAAATAAAACATTACGAGAATTTCAATCTAATCAACTCTATAACACAAAAATCTCACAATTTGTGTTCGCAACAGGCTTGTAGCAACATCGTGAACAAGTTGTAACAATGTTGTTATTTTATCAAGTTGTTACAAGGTTGTCACTCACAATTTGTTATCAAATTGAATTACAGGACTATAACATCTTGTTGGAAGAACATGTAACAAAACTGCTTGGAACAGCATTGCCAAAGGTCTGCTGCAGGTTGGTTACAACTTGCATCTTTTTTACGTGTGTAGACGACCTTCTACCTTACTATATCGGTTGCACGTGTTGCTGCTGCTGTAATTATCAACAAACCAGGAGCACCATTAGCGCCTTTTGAGTCAATCTTTGTTATGAGATTGGACCAGCTAGGAAGAACTAAGTAAATAGAAAGAAATAACTACAGTAAAATCAATGGAAGCAGTTCACACATACTGTAGGTTGCTAATTAGAGATATGATACATATATAATCACTCACCTACTCTTAAATATGGCGAGAGCGATTGTAGCTGACCAGTATGAACAGAAGGCTCAGTCAAGAACATTTCATCTGACAAAAGTGAACATAAGATACGTGCATTCACTGTGTATTCAACTGACGGATATATTGAATCCTATTGTTATATATTGCATATAAGAAAAAGGAATACCAGGGGAAAACCTGACGTGTTTGCTGGAGTTCACGTTTCTCACATTCCACTATGACTCGGTGAAATTATAACCAGAGAGCTGCATATTGCAGGAATTGAGCCAAGATCACGAAGGTAAAAAACACATAACTGAACTAACTACGGTGTCATATATAACTAGTACCAACATACAAGCGTGTTTTGGCTCAAAAACAGGGTGGATTATAACAACTGCGCTTGGGTCTGATAACTCTGATTAACGTCCGATCAACTGGGTGGCCGGACATTTTGCTGAAAAAAATTTGCCGAAAGACATTTTGCCGAAAGACATTTTGCCGAAAGGCATTTTGCTGAACGGACATTTTGCTGAACGGACATTTTGCCGACGGACGTTTTGCCGAACGGACGTTTTGCCGAACGGACGTTTTGCCGAACGGACATTTTGCCGAACGGACAGTTTGACGAACGGACAACTTGCCGAAAATAGAGATATCTTCTGAACTTTAAAGGTTCGCTTACAAGGTTTTGGTTTCTGTGATTAAAGTAATTTTCGATTTTGATGACAGAAACTTTGATAGCGAAGTTTTTGTTTCGTTTTATATTCTTTCAAGTTTTTAACAAGTTTACCGAAATTTCGCAATATAAAGAATAACATCATTCAACATCATTCATGAATGCGATTTCTCCGAGATCTGTGAATGAATTCAATGATTCTCGAAGTGAAATTCGCTTATGTCGTTGTCTTTATATACGCTTGCTTGTTTACGATGTGACGTCAAAACAAGTTCCTAACAAATGAGTCATCCGCTGCACAAACAAGCTACCCATAGGCATAGTCAATATGGTTATGCACTGCTAATGACCCATTAGACATTTCTAATACCATATAATGGTTATTTTACACAATGTTTGAGAATTACAAAGTTGAGAAATGAGACACAGTCCCAAACATTTTGACGAAGGAACATCTCTATTTTCGGCAAGTTGTCCTTTCGGCAAACTGTCCGTTCGGCAAAATGTCCGTTCGGCAAAACGTCCGTTCGGCAAAATGTCCGTTCGGCAAAATGTCCGGGTACCGATCAACTGTGCAGTTGCTGGGACATTGACTAGCAATGGTCGCTCACCTTACAGTATTGGGCTATATACTCACTTTTTATAAGCAATCCCAACGATCCATGCAAGCAAAAGTAGGTCTATTGTTTTTCTAATTTCCTCCGTATAAACTTGTCACGTGATTTTGTCAGAGTGAAGCGAAGAAATGTTTTCATTAATTCCTTCTCTTGCTTTTATCCTGTTTGAACAGTACTGATGAAATAATATACCTACCTGTAGCTTTCATTTAGGCGAACACTGTGTATTTTACATGCATTTGACTGGTTTGAAGTGTCTGTGCCGAATAAATTGATTGAACGGCTATTTAGTGTTTTTTTCCGACAAAATAGTCAATCACCGACCGTTACAATCGGTACTGTTCAAGAAATGCTAAAGAATGCTCGAACATCATATAGACAGGAGCAGATATTGTACCGGGTGGCGCAAAAAAAAAGTTAACCTGTTTGATTTATTTTAACTTAAAAACTAAAAGAGCTATAATAATTACACCTAAACTACGTGCATCGCATTCAGTATTGTCTAACTTAAATTTTGATGTACGCCCTGTGCAATTTCGTGCAATATTGATCGAGAGAGCTGTGTTTAAACTTGAATAAACATTTTGGGAAGTGTCGAGAATTAGCTAAAAACGGCGTTAAACTAATTTGATAACCCTTACCATTTTATCGTAAATATTCGTTTCAATGAAGTGAAGTTTAAATTAAAAATGTTTATTGGATGGATGTGCTCTTTTATTTTTGTTTAAGGCCTTTCGGAATGCATGAAAATTAAATTATGAAGCGATTTTGATTAAAAGATTTATTCTAAATATTCAATGACCGTGGGGAATCAAATTCTAATGTTCCAAGAAAGAAACGTCAAGCGTTTTTTTTTATAAATACGCCTCGTTTAACGAAGGACCAAAGAGTTTCGATATGTTTAGAACATGCAAGGGGTAAATAATGCTCGCGAGGTTATACCGGCGGCGTTGGGCAGGTCTCTGACAACGAACGTGTACTTTCTGACTATAGTGCGTCTAAGCCATAGAAATAATAGAAATAATATCTATTAGTATAATTACATAGGTGATTATTGAAAATTCTCGACGCTGATTGGTTGCCGATGAGGTGATTATTACGAGATAATCACCTAAGCGATTTTCAAAATGGCGGCCGGAGCCTTTTTGTCAATTAAATGACGAAGAAATGTGTATTTTCTTATTTTTCCCAAATAATCACCTATGAAATTATACTAAAGCAATTATTCACCTCAGGCTCGGTGATTATCGTGAATAAAAACCTCGACTTCGTCTCGGTTTTTATTCACCGATAATCACCTCGCCTTCGACGAATAATTGTTAATTATTTCTATGGTCTAAGCACAGGTTATTGCTGTATTAACTATTTGATAGGCCGTTTTTGGCTAATTCTCGACACTTTCAAAAATGGTTACTCAAGTTTAAACGCAGCTCTCTCGGTCAATATTGCACGAAAATGCACAGGCCGTATATCAAAATTTAAGTTAGACAATACTGAATGCAATGCACGTAGTTCACGTGTAATTGTAGCTCCAAGGGTCGAAATTCCCGCTATTCCGCTATTCCGAATATGCTAAAATGCCTGACGGAATAGTAAACTTCATGATCACAGTACTCTGTTTGTATAGTAGAAAAAATTATGATACCAAATATTGACAAGCAAGCTAGGGTTTTCCTCTTGTATAATATATCATTTTATACCGGACTTTGAGCCACTGTTCCACTTCGTAGCTAAGTTCTTGTTCGCTTGCAATACTTGCATATTCTAATTTCTTTGCACCAATAAAGTTCGCAAGTTCATTTCAGTGTTTGAACTTTGTTTTTTATTAATAATTTGTTCCTCACTGTACAGAGCAATGCACTGTACATGTTTGTTTTACAATTATTCAGTTCACTTTAGGAGTTCCAAGGATGATTTCACGAAAATCAGAACATTGGCGTGGAGCCTGCATCAACAGGCTCTCAGAAACAGTACATTAAGGAATAGTGGATTTTCAGACGGAATAGTAAATATAAAAATCTACTATTCCGGCTGTATAGTACAAAAAAATTTAAATTTCAACCCCTGAGCTCTTTTAGCTTTTAAGTTAAAACAAATCAAACAGGTTAACTTTTTTTTGCACCACCCAGTAATTATATCAATTATCAATATCAGCTAAATGCAGAAAAATTACCTTCCACAGTGAGATCTTCCAGTTCAAGAGCAGTAAGTTTGTCTTCCGTTGCTTTGCAGAATGACGCCCAAAATGTTTCGGAAATGCTTTCACCATCAATTGTCTTTTCTACTGTTTCCTCTTTCTTTTTTCTCTTCCTTCGCTTTTTAGCCGTTGCTGTTGTTTGTTTATTTTCTTCATTGCCACATTCTGGTTTAAAAGGTAAAGATAATTTCAGATAATTTTGCTGAATAATAGGGATTCAAATATACATAGGTTGCAACGATTTCTGATGCTTTATTTTATTGCAAAATTTAGTCCTCAAAATTTCAATAGGTCATTTCTAGTTTATATGCAAGCTGTTTAGGTGATAAGGCTTTCAACATTGTTACAATATTGTACGTCTGAAAGTTAATCAACCATTGTTGTAAAGCTTTAAGACAGTCCACAGTTCGCCTGTACTGCCAAATAAATGCACATAATTCAACACGTCCAGTATTCCAAAGGTCGTAGGTTCGAATCCCACCGTGGCCGGGCATATTTTTCAAGCTCGCCCGGTGTGGATATGCACTCAGAGTAACATCGCAAACATACGTCCAGAAAAGTATGTAATCTTGGCTATTGAGCCTCATTTTTATGATTGAAGTTCAAGGAGTTTAACTAATGTCACAAATACAAAAACAAGGCTCTAAGCCAAAGTGATGTACTTTCCTGAAGCACATATTCTATTAACAGATGATGGGGGGCAGTGTACAGTACCTACTGGCTCTTCTATAACATTTGCCACATCTGCATAAGGTCGCTTATTTTTCTTTAATTTCTGGTTATCCACTGATTTTTCTAAACCAAGAAAATACAAATGCTGTACTGATATTTTGTGTGATATAACTGCTAAATTGTATAAATTGTAACATTTAAATATTAGTGATGCATCGATAGAGAAATTCACCGATTTCGAAGAACCGATATTTTGCCGATACTGATATTCTATGTCATTTCACAAAATTCATAGACTGCGAGAAGTCCCTCGAGTTGAATGGAACATTCCATCTTTCACCTCATGAAAATATTTTTACCATTGCACATTTGCACGGATAAAAACTTTCATTATTTGTTTTATATAATACCAAAATAGACTAATATTAAAAGGTTTACTGTAAGCTCCCGCCATTTTGACGAGCCGTATTTGCATTACATCCCATTTAATAAGTTCCATTTTTCGGGCTAAAATAAACTGCGATCAGCGTACGAGAATAATTTTGGCAGATGTGATTTATCGAAAAAACAAAGAGCGCAATGGAATAAAACATATAGTACATTAATTCAACTCGCAAAGAGTGCAATGCACTCTTGGGAAATGGAATTTTCTATTCAATATCATGTGACCATAAACAGCCAATTAAACAATCAGAATTCAATAAGGTATTATATATAATATTAATTATAATATAGCATTTGTAAATTCTGAACGCTGATTGGCTAAGAGCCGTGTTGATATAACTCAATGTCAACACGGAAACGTCGGAAAATTTCTTTCTTTATATTTCTTGTGCTATATATCATACAAATATAAAACTTTTTTCCGTACTGATATACAGTTATATAAACACTCGTGGAAATTGAGAAAACTCGAAATTGTGTGAAAACACCCTGCCTTCAAAATTCCACACAATTTCTCGTTTTCCCAATTGCCACTTGTGTTGACATAACTGTATATCAATACGGTATATAACTGTATATCAACACGGAAAATGTTTTATATTTGTTAAATATACAACACTATGCTGTCAATATTTACAATATAATTTGTAATTAAGACTGTATATACATCAAATACAATTAATAGATATACTAGCTGTGTCCTTTATCCACAAATCACAATCAGGGTCAGACAAACCGCTTTTCGAGGCTTAATCAGGAATAAAATCCACACTTGGCAAGACCGTGTCGCAAATCCGCAGGTTCGATTCCTGCCAGAGGCAGAGGGCAATGATATAGTTGCATTTTTCAAAACTGTTCCTGAATACTGGTTTTATAGGTCTGGAAATTGTACACAAAAATGCATATATCTTATAAATACTACCCAGAATAATTTCTGTTAAGCTAAATACTAAACATAAAATTTACTTTGTTCTGTTTTTTTTACATTCTGTGCGCTAAGAACATCATTTTCATCATCAATTTCATCATTTAACCACCACTCATCTCCCAAATCGTCTGCCATCTTGAAAATATTCAGCTACCCTCCCCCCCTGTTTTGTCATTTTTCTACTTCACCCCCCGCCTGTCTGTCTGTCAAACTAAAACCAAAACAATATGTTGTGTCTGGAATGATCGAAGGAATATTGGCTTCTAATTAATTAAAGCGAGTTGCGACTTTTATTTGAGATGGGTTAATAATCGAAGGGATGGTTTTTGAATCCATTGTGGTTAACCTCGTCAACACTTATCTTGGAAAATATATCAAGAATTTGGACTCCTCGAATCTCGATTTGGGCATTTGGCGCGGTATGTTGCTATATTAAACCGTGTCGAATATCTCGAAATGTTGACATAGTTTTAAATAGATATCGGTCCCATAATAGTGTCAATGTTTACATGGAAATATCTTTTTACACGAAAAATGTTTATGTAGCGTTTAATATAGGTTTGTATGTATCACCATGTCATGCTTTTATCTTTCATTATCGGTTTATGTCTGGAGTTTATGTCAATAATATATTTGCCATGCCTACAAATTAATAAATTAATGCAACCGCATGAATGGAATTTGCATTATCAGATCTCATGTCATGTTCCATACACTGGATTGGCTGCTGGATTCAAATTAGTCTTTCGTTTCTGGCCATTCGCTTCAATTAGAACATATTTATTTGGGTTATTGCTGTTTGCATAACAATATCTAGGTTTTAACAGGCTTTTCAAAGACTTCTAAGTGTGCACAGAATGATAAAATGCTTTTTAGGGTATGAAATATGAAATATTCAAAGTATGGTATGAAATATTTCATGTGAGCTGAGGGTATCAGGTTGTTTTGTACTCTAGTCATTTCATACATTTCATACTGTCTGGTTCTTTCATTACTCAACTGCCTGGTCATTTACTCATTTCGTAGATCGACAATAAACAAGTTTGGTTTTTTCCATGAAAACCCCCGAATCAGTTCATTTCTTCATTGAGGGATGACTACAAAGCGATTTGCAACATAGTTGTTTTTCCATCTAATAACGAACACACTCTTTCTATATACACACTCTTTCTATATAATCGCATTATACAATATAGATGTTCCGATATTAATCCTTTCACAAAGAACCTCAATCTGTAGTTAATTATATTTTGATTTGACTCTGTGTGCTGTCACACCTAAGGCCAAGCTAGCTCTTCGTGATCACAGTTGAATCTTGAAGCTCATACAATTTTGAAAATGGTTCGAAAATCTACATGCAAGTGGCCATGTGGTACTTGCAGTTTGCAATGCCATTATGAACACAATGCAATCACTGCACTTTTTGCTTTTCTCTGAGGTCTTTTCTTCGGTTCAACATCTTGAGACTGGTTGGCTGCCGTTTTATTCTCTATGTGATATATCTTCTTTGACAGCTTGTTATCCTTGTACATATACTTTCATTTCCAGGTCGCAGACCAATTGTATTGGTTGTTCAACAACAATTACCCAGTTCCAGTCTTGATATTGTATCCTTTCAATACTACATCTTTTCCTCGGATTTTATCAACTATCCGTCCAACTTGCCACTTTGATTTTATTTTGCTGCTGTCTGTAATCATAACTACAGATCCCTTCGAAGACAATGTTTCTTCTTTACCGACAATCTTTTTGTGTCTTTCAGGGCATGGAGGTAGACTGGACCTGCATACGCTTTCTTAGTTGCTGCCGACAAGTCTTCAGAAATTTTAATCTTTTAGTTATCATGCAGACCTTTAATTCTCATCCAACGCCACTATTAGTCTTCCTCTAAGGGGCTGATTACATGGAGAGTTTTCAGCCCGGCCTAGGCTGAGTTTAGCCCGGGTTTCCCTGGATAAAGTAAGGTTTGCCTAAGGATAAAATTGAAACTGCTTATGTAATCGTGATGCAATTTCAGCTATGTTTATCTGGGCTGAAACTCACCCCGGGCTGAAAACTCTCCATGTAATTGATCAGCCCCTATGGGACTGATCAATTTATTTATTTATTTTAGTTTATTTGGTCTTGCTTACTCGGGATTCCATGAAGTGTGACGTATTTTGAGCAACTGAAATACGTGTTTCATCCCTTAGTCTAAGAGCTGAAACACGTATTTCAGTTGCTCAAAATACGTCACACTTCATGGAATCCCGGGTAAGCGGGACCAAATGCTTAAATTTATGTAGCGGAAGAAGACGATTAATAACATTCTACAACATTTGTTTTTTGTCTAAAACATGGAATTTCATACAATTTGTAACAAGTGATTTTGTTACAACATGAACTGCGGCTTATTTCAATTGCCCAAAATACGTCACACTTCATTGAATCCTGCGTAAGCGGGACCATATAAACAGCCCCTAAGAATTGTCCCATGAATCAAAAGATTTGGCGTGAGAATTAGATGTTCTACTTCTTCTTCTTGAGGCCTACCATGGTTCCCTCATCATGGTCATGGTCGAATACACTCCACCGTGACCAATCTGTTCATGTACAGTACGTCACTGACTAGTATTCGATAAAGACAACATCGCCTTGGAATGAAGGTTAGACGGTATCCGGGGATTCTTCTATTCACTCTCAAAAACATCATCTTTCTGCAAGTCGACTTTGGGAACCGCCGTGACATTCCTTTGAACATGACGCAACCACAATTTCTCAGCGTCCATGATCTCTTCTGTCTTTAACAATCCGTTGCATTTTCATGGGGGATTTCTTCCTCAGCCGATTCTTTTGTCTCGGAGATTTCCGGTTGCTTTGGCCATTGATGACAAGAAGAAAGCCATACCGGGCCTGTAAACCACAATCTCCAAGCTTGCTAGCTGGGCGTTGCATGATCCTCTTGTTCCACGTGATCACTCGGGTTGTCTTTCTTTGGAACATGAAGGCATTTCGATTCACATATCTCGGTTATCTGTTTCACCTAACCGTGGTTTCACACGATATCGCACAAATCAAAAACTGAATATGTCCCGTTGTTGACAAGCCAGTAAAGAACGATGATACAGTACATGTCTACCCAGTTACATATGGTTTGTATCCTGATGTTTTCCAGTGCCTTCATAACATTGTTCTGTTAACGAGTGTTAACGCAGCAATAAATTCCAATCATGGAATACTAGCGTTCTTTGGAGTGACTCGAGATTTGACAGCAAGCACCCTATCACGTAAATTGCCGCGCAGACAGCTACTTTACTTGCGTCAGAGAATCCATGTATTTCAAACATGTATCCTCCTTTCATAACACCGCTACGAGGCACCGTGATGTAGCTTTGTTGTTGTAGGTGTTTTATCCAATTAAGTGAACCATTCCTGCAGAATTTCGTCTGGTAACTTACAGAGATCTGTCTTTAACAAACAGATCTCTGCGAAGATTAATTATCTTGGCAGTGATAAAACAGTAATTGGCGTAGACCAACCCAGAATGTCATAAACGCTTTCGATTGCACCAATGACCTTTACTACCTTTGGTTTCGTGACGGGTTTCTTAACTTCAATACAAGTTTCAAAGTTAATGGTCATGCCATCGCTTTTCTTGTTCCAGGGTAGTCCCAGAATCTTCGTTTCATTGGACGATGCGCTTTCAACAAAGGTGTTTGCATAAGTGGTCTCATTGTCGTCCGCGTTGTTTGTTGACTCAACGACTGGACAGTTGTTGTGCCATTTATGCAATTCGAAACCAGCTTCATTCATGATTTCAGTTAACTCGACCTTGAACTTGATGACATCTTCCTAGGAATTTCCGCCTCCTTGGATTTAACTGTACTATACCTGTTCTCATATTGTTCCAAGTGTTTCTCCAAAATTGCCACCAGTGTGTACTGTACAGACTTGATGTGGCTATCAAGCAGCTTTCACTAAATATCTACTACTTATTAAATATTAAGTTACCATAAATGTTCTTTAGATATTCAGTACTATATTTATTTCTGCAGGTGACGTGGTGCTCAATAATCTGACTCTCAAAGATGATGCCCTGGTAAATTCATAGTTATATATTTATTTAATTGTTCTCAAAGTCCAGTTGTAATTAAAACTTTACTGAGTTAAGATCAAGAAACTTGGATGACTGCACGGCAATATATAGAGTATTTTTTCAATAAATTCTCGAACTTCATCGTGAAGTGGGCATTTGTAAAGTTAGTCTAGACTAAAAGTCTGAACAGAGTACAGTAGTATTGAAGTAGCTCTATTATTATGATATTTGATAATAATAATAATAATAGTATATATATATATATATATTAAATTAAAAACACGGCGTGGTTATAATTTTTCATTTTTATGTTTTTAGGCCGAACTTGAATTGCCTATTGAAGTGAAATCTGGCTATATTGGTAAATAGTAAAATATTGCATATTCAGGGCCGGTTGTATTCTTTTAACCTACTTTTAAACTATCCGTTTTGGATTTAAATAGTGCTTATGTAGTTTCGTAATTACTGTAAGGGGTCACCCTAATTGGTGTAACGTGTAGCGTATTCCTGTTACAGTATATACATCAATACAACGGTTGTATTTTTGGTAGTTGCCGCGGAATTTCATTAAATCATTATTCTTCGTTTCTTAACAAGTATTTATTGTGAATGGAAATTTTCCACTTAAAAACCTGTAGCAAGCCATCTTTATAATCAAGCCAACTTGAAATAAGATAAATTTTGATGATTATTATAGGAAAGTTATCTGCTGAAATTCCTTGGTCAAATATCTATACAAAGCCAGTTGTGGTAAAAATCGAAGATGTATTTGTACTTGCTGCGCCAGTTACAGGTAAAACATCATGCATTACACTGTACTTGAGCATTTCGATTGTCATTATACGGGATACATTTTATTTCTTGCATTGGCCTCCCTTCAATGGAACTTTGTCCCCAGGCGAACATATTTCCTAGGAAATTTGGCCAGCTCTTTGTAAATTTGTCCCCTCTTTTAGGACTGAACAAATATAAGCATAATTCATGAAACTCAGTCTCTGATCTCTGAAGATAATTATTATTCTAGCCTAATGGAAGACATGTTACCATGACTATTATTTTATTATAATAGGCAATTCCAGCTTTTAATTTATGCGCGCAGGGGGTGACGGGAAATAAGGTATCATATTGCTGATTATACTGAAATATTTCAATAAAAACTGCCGAAATATTTCAATATTTACAAGTATAAGCTATCACTCCTTGTTTACACGGCCGCCATTTTTATTTTTCAGCATAATGAGCAATATGATACCTTACTCCCCAACCCCCCTGTACGCATAAACTAAAAGCTGGAATTGCCTATTGTACCTTACTCCCCCCTCCTCCTGCGCGCATAAACTAAAGGGTGGAATTGCTTATTGCTGCACGTCCGTCTAATTCTATTTTTAATGTATAGCAATCCCAATATATAAGCACTGTCATTTTTGCCTAATTTGCAGAAATTGATTATGATGCAGAGCAAGCTGAAGAGCGTTTGAAAGCAGCGAAGAGAAGGAAACTGCAAGCTATAGAAAAGTCAAACAAACCGCTAAATAATGAAAGTTCTCAGGAATCCCGATTACCTGACAGTTACACGTTCGTAGAAAAATTGACTGCACAAATTATCAAGAATGTTCAGGTAAAATTGCTGTATGGTAAATATCAAGATTTTTTGGCATCTCGTTTAATATAACTGAGTGCAGTTCAAATATCTGTAGATGAATTTTTCGAACGAAAATTTATCTACTATTTTAGACCTATAACCTGGCACCGAAACATGCAGCTTTAGGCCCTCTTACAGGAATTAAAACTTCACTTTCGGTCAGTGTACCATTTTAGGGGTACAGAACAAACAAAATTTTCTGGGGGGGGGGGCTAAGCCCCCCCTGTTCCGCCCCCCCCCCCTGGTACAAGAACTTGCTGTTAATGCTCGGCAACTGGACTCTGTAGCTCAGCAAGTGGTCAGAACGCTGCATTGGAATCGCAGAGCCGTAGGTTCCCGCCGGAGGGCTAAAGTTGTATTTTTCGCAGCTGCAGCTCTCGGTTAGGTGTAAAATTGTATATAAATTTTCGTTCGAAAATTCCGTCTACAAATATGCCATCTTATTCTATAAGCCTGTTGCGCGTGAATATTCTTGTTACTCGTCAGAAATCACGTACGTTACCTTCATACATCTCATCTTCCCAATAGAATCAAGGAATTATTTCTGTATTTCTGTGCTACAGTTACTGCTATTGGTCGGTCTTACTAAAGCTTTCCAATTCAGTTCTAAATTCATCTTATAATAATTTTTTTATTGAACGCTGTTTCTCCTGTAATATCCCTATAGTTTTGTCGTTAATATCTCTTTTGTTTTTGTTCTACTTTAAATTGATCCAAAATCCGCGCACTTTTTCCATTCTTTTCTTAAAACATTCGAAATACTGCTATACATTGCTCTAAATGTCTATCTGCGTGAGTAGTAATACCCCCACCTAGCAACGGAAGTAATTAGTATGCAAAATTTGGTGTCGTATGTAATTAGTATGTAAAATCTATGACGTCACTTTACTGGGCAAGCCTGGGCCAAATGTGACAGGTAACGCGACCAATTAACACGGGCAAGCCTGGGCCAAATGTGACAGGTAACGCGACCAATTAACATGACCAATTAGCATCACTCGCTTAATAGGCGTATTACCAATTACAATCCGAAAATCACAGTTCCATTCTTTCCATTTTTCGAGACATCGTAGTATTGGTATGGGCCCCGTTGATGTAAATGAAGACAACGAGAGCATTGTGTGGCAAAAACTTTATAAAGAAGAGTCTTAGGCTATAGTCGTGACTTTAAGACTATAGTCATGACTATGAAGACTATATTATTATTATTATTATTATTATTACCGAACAGTTTAACACCCCCTTCATTACAGTCGGTCGTGGCGTTCTTCAAGGCGATTGTCTCAGTCCACTTTTATTCAACATGTCATTCAATACTTTCATACAACATATTAAATCTGAAAAATACCGTCAGCTTGGATTTTGGAAATTAAGTGAAATTGGCATTCCGTGCAATCCTATACATTGGTTTCAGTTTGCAGACGATGCTGCTGTCATCAGTAGCCAAGAGAAGGAAAATTAAATGCTCCTTAATCGTTTTACAATCTGGTGTCAATGGGCTAATATGATTATACGCGTTGACAAATGTTCAACATTTGGCATTAAAAAACACTTAACTAAATCTATCCAGTATTTACCCAAGCTTTTCGTTAATAACGATCTTGTACCCAGAACCGAAATGGGCAAATCTTTCCGTTACTTAGGTCGCTATTTCGATTTCAATATGTCTGATGAGGAACACAAATCAGAATTACTCGACGTGTTTAATGACATCATGAATAAAATTAATGAACTACCTTTACACCCGAAAAATAAAATTCTACTATACAGTCGTTACTTGCTGTCAAAGATATCCTGGGACTTCACTGTTTCTGATATATCTAAGACCTGGATCTGCGAAACGTTAGACAGTATTGCGACAAAATATATCCGAAAATGGCTGGAACTTCCTGTCTCTGCAACCCTTAGCAACGTGTTGCTTCCACAAAACAAATTTGGTCTGAATATTATTCTCCCTTCGACAAAATTTATCCAATGTCAAACTGTCTCTCGATCAGCTTTAAAATACTCACCAAACGTAGATATTAACAATCTATGGGCGGTGACGAGCACCAACAAGAACATACAGTATGACATTTACAAAGACACAAAAGACGTACTTAAGGCAGTTAGAAAAGAAAACGAACAAAGACTTCAAAACCACCTCATTTCGCAAGGTTCTTTCTTTTCCAGTATCATGAATCATTCCACATCCACATTCAACTCTTTATGGTCATCCGTTCAGAGCAAACTTCCGAAAAACATTTTTAACTTCACCATCCGATATATCAATAACATACTTCCAACACGAAAGAACCTATCAAAATGGGGACTATCATCAACATCCGATTGCTCTTTCTGCTCCTCACCTGAAACGCTGCTACATGTGATTGCTGGATGTAAGACATATTTAGACGAAGGCCGGTTTACATGGCGACACGATTCTGTTTTAAATTTCCTCGCATCCACTCTTACTGCTGTGAAAAATTCCACACTCTACGCGGACATTCCTGGTTTTATGAATCCATCTGTTATCACGGGAGATCGTTTACGTCCTGACCTTCTGCTGGTGACTGAAAACAGATGTCTATACATCCTCGAGCTTACAGTCGGTTATGAATCCAATCTGCTAGTTAACGCCAATCGTAAGCGTCAAAAGTACCGTGATCTAATCAATGAGCAGGAAGCAGATTATGATAAAGTCAAGTTCGTCAATTTATCCTTGAGTACCCTCGGAGTTTTTGGCCGATCTTCTGAAAATTTCGATGGCATGCTAAGTAGCCTTAAATGTGATGCCAAGTATAGTAAATACATAAAAAAGCAACTCGTGAACATATGCATACGAACATCATATTATGTATTTTGTAAACGAATCAAGGTGTGGGATAACCCAAAATTAATGTTAATATAATCCTTCTTAATTAAAATAATTATTGTACAATAAATATATAGTATCAATTCAAGTAGACATTGATAAACTACCTGTAAAGCGAGGTTTATCATTGTAGTTGTATATATCTTAATAATCAATAAATAAAGTTTCCATTATTATTATTATTATTATTATTATTATTATTATTATTATTATTATTATTATTATTATTATTATTATTACAGTGACCAGCGAGGTGGGCAGTTCACGCTCACGGCGCTCGTGTACTTTTTGAATAGTTCATGTAGTTTAACTGCACTAACATTAGTTTTGAGCTTTTGGAACTTCACCTTGAGTATGAAAGGGATCATTATGGTGCTTTGTGTGGTATTGATCGTTATTTTTGGGCAAATTTTGACCTGCAATGCAACGATATGTGAGTATTGTGGAAAGGATTTCAAATCGCTGGGCAGACATCAATGGCGTTGCAAATCACGAACTGGTGTCGGAAACTCACCTAACACGGAGAGAGCGTCTTCTTCAACATCTGCGGATAATAATACATGTACAGTATGGTCGACTAATGCCGCAGGAGAAAGTTTTATGTGTTATTGTGGGCGTACATTTAATAGTTATCGTTCACTAAATTTACATCGCCGATTTTTGCCGATTGTCCAGACTCTGGCTTGAAATGTACGTCCAATCTGTTTCAAGCGTTAAGGCCAGATATTACGATTCGTTATAAAAGAGACTTGTATGTGATTGAATTGACTGTCCCATATGAAACGAACTGCATGATTGCAAGACGACGTAAACAAGAAAAATATCGGGTATTGCGATCACAGTTAATTCAGTGGCGTGCTGGCAGGGGGGGGGGGCGGGGGGCCACGTCCCCCCCCCAGCTGGCAATTCTTGGGGGGGCGCAAAAGTGAAAATGGGGCGCCGAATTTTGAAAGTGGGTGGGAAAAAACACATTCTCGAAAAAATATGGTTACTTCCGCCAAGAAAAGACGTGTTTATAGGCTACAGTATAAAACAGACTAAGCGCATAGGCGACATATATTAAACAAGACGCTCTATAGAGCGTTAACTCGCTGGGCTATACAAATACGCACATTAATGTATAAGATTTATTAAGGTTGTCCCCGAGCTAAGCGGAAAAGTCAAATACGAGCGTGAAAGGCTGTTTAAAGGCCATTTTCCATTGCAGTCGCTTTGCCAGCGCTGGCGGACCGTTCATTGTTTTTAAGCCCGTCACGCCCGCGTGAGCAGATTTTCAAAGCCCGCGCGGGCAAAGCGACTGCAATGGAAAATTGCCTTATAATTAACACAGTACTAAAATGCGGTGCTCTACAAATAAAACTTCCGGCGTTCTGTCTGCAAGTATAAAAGTTATTTAGATTTTAGTACGGGGCCATTCACAGACTCAGAGGATATCCGAGCCGAGGGGGGGAGGGGGGTTTGGAAAATCAGGACAAACTCGGACATAAGGAGAGGGGGAGTTTTTAGCAATCTGGATGTCCATAATTTAAAAAAAATTGAAAAACAAATTTCTTTTCCTCTATTTTGAACTCTCCCATTGTGGAATTTGCATTTTGAACACTTCATAATATTATCTAATTCTTTCCTTCAATGATGAATTCAACAGTGGCGTCAAATACAAACTTTCTGCATGTATAACTCTCCTTTTCTATACAATAAGTCCACCCCGTTGTTGCAGTAACACAGTTGTTTATTTTAATAATTTATATGATTTTGTATTCACATTATAGTTATAAACAAAACGCCTACTCAGGCGTTAACTTGGGCTACTGATTTAATTTATTATGTAAAAATGGCCGATTGTAGAAGTCTGAAAACATTAACATACATGAAGTATTGAGCTGTACTCGTGAGGTCACTACGACCTGGGAGCACTTTGACATCATAATTGTAAAATGTTTTGCAATATTTACGCTTTATTTCGTCGGCCACTGACGCAGCTAGGATTTACATTCTCTGTTACAGTAAGCAATCTTGAATCAAGATATTTTAAAGCTTTTCATCACATTTGGGGGCTCTTTTTGGACTGGGACCCCACCCCTCCACCACTCTTTGTGGTCCTTTAACTAGAATGTGAATTTCCGTCATCGTTTTTCGGCTCGAGTTTGGTTGTTACTCCATATTATATATGGAGATCATTGTGTCATTTGGTGATCACATGACAATACGTCACATACGTCACATATTGTACCACAGCAACGTGCTTCGAGCGCTCTCTTTCAAGCACAAGAGGAAGGGACAACATGTCCGCTAGTAGCTCGAAAACAAGCAGTAAGAGTAAACAATCGGGCAAAAGTAAGTCCTCAGTAAGTCGTCCGGAACAACCGGCCAAAGTTACTGATAACAAATGGATCGATATCGATCACGATTTGAAGAAAACACCCGAGAAACAAAAGCAGCAGTACGAAGGCGTTGATGAAAAGGCATTGGAAGAGATTGGATATGTACATGATTTGTCAGAAAAAACAAGAAACAAAAATAATACCATGGACTATTGTACATTCAAGTTACAAACGTCGCCCAACAAGTTTAAAGACGCCCTTCTGTATTCACCTACCAAGAGAAAAATTTTAAAGACCAGCGACGATAGTCGAACGCCAATAAAAGTGGAAAAATTCACGTATACTAAAGATGGCAAAAAGATAATCGTGAACGAGGTGACTCGTCTATCAAGCCCAGATGCATCCGAATGCGTGTTTCAATATGTCCCACTTACGCCATCGACTGAAAAATTTACCACCATTCAAAATGTATTGGATAACGCCGACGAATATGATAAAGTTAACGTCGAAGGAAAAGTCTTTCATTTGCACGAAAATCGTCCGAACAACACAAATCTGCATCTTGCTTCAGGATTGTTAGTTGACGAGGAAGCAACAATTCCACTTGATGTGTGGGAACCTCACATTTCGTCAATACAAGAAAACAACGCGTACGCTTTCATGTCATTAACCGTGCGAGTATGGAATGGGAAAAAAAAGGTGGCCCTCGGAAGGCAAGGTAAAGTTTATGCTTTGACGGACAGCCCAGTTATGTCAGTAACCGAAGATAACGTTCCAGCCAGTGAGAATAAATTCGGCGCCATTGGTATTGAAGAAATTGCATCGATCAGCAGCATTGAGGTGTTTCATGCTTGTGTCAATTGCAATAAGAAGCTTATTCAAGTAAGTGGAGGGCTCATATATCACAGTGTGACAAATGTGGCCACGCGATGAAATTGAGCAAATGTCGGCATAGAGTGTTGGTATCATTTGTCATTGAAGACCAGGATAAGCAAATGAAAACTTTGACTGCTTTCCAAGAGCAGCTGGCCAGTATTGTAAGCATTGATATGCTATTTGATAAGTCAGCCATCCAGCAATGCTTGCTTACTTCTACTGGCATTAACATAGAATACAACAAGACGTCACTTGTTGTAACTAAATTTGTGCAACGAGCAGTCTAGTGCCAGAAGATATTTTCTATAAAAAAGGATATAGAGCAAGACTCTAATACAAACTCTAATTTAAATTTTGTTTTGTTACTACCTTTTGTAGTGGTTTATATTTGAAACAATCGACACTTTTCGAATTTGCCTGATGGCTACGAAAACTTCTTTACTGAAAATATTTACAATGCATGGTTGTATTTCGATTTCAAGGTCGTGTCACTCAAGCAAATTTGGGAGTGTCTATTATTACATTGGGTCATTGTCATTGTTTTGATTAATGTGGGTTTGACCATTAATAATCATTTAATATATTGCAACAAAACTTTATATACAAAGAAATTACATTCTATATAGTAGCCTATACTGTAGTTTGAACTTTAATTTGAACTATCTTTAGTTGTTTAAATTAACTTGTTGTAGTTTTGTTATCACTTGGGCAATTGGGTGATTTTGGACATTAAAATAACATTGTTTTGTTTCACATATAATTTGTGTTTGCGACGTATTTTTGCACCAAATAATGACAAAATTGTGATTTTTTTATTAATGGACATTTGCATTATAGACTAAATTTTGATGTAGACAAAAATTTCATCACAGCTTGAAAGAGCATCACAAAATTAGTAATATTCCAAAGTTCCGTTGCGAAATGTTAAAATGCGGATAATATAGCCTTGCGAAATTTGAAATCTGAAAAACAGCAAACTTCGCATGGCTCTATTATCCCCATTTTACAACATTTCGCAACGAAACTTTGGAATATTACTAATTTTGTGATGCTCTTTCAAGCTGTGATGAAATTTTTGTCTACATCAAAATTTAGTCTATATGACTGTAATGCAAATGGCCCATTGTTAGGAAGAGGTAGGCTATAACTTTATACATTAATGCTATTTGCGTGCTTTCGTTTAGCCTTTAGGCATGCATTTTCAAAAACATCTTTTCCACGGCGAAAATTAATAAACATGACCGACCGTTTTGTTCATGCGAAAGAAACTTAATTTCAGCCTCAAGAGTACACTTTTATTATGGGGACTAGCTAACAGTCGTGGGTCGTGGGTAGAATGTCGTGGGTCGTGGGTAAAAAGGCGTGGGTCGTGGGTAAAAAGGCGTGGGTCGTGGGTAAAAAGGCGTGGGTAAAAAGGCGTGGGTCGTGGGTAAAAAGGCGTGGGTCGTGGGTAAAAAGGCGTGGGTTGTGGGTAAAAAGGCGTGGGTCCCGAATACAAAGTCGTGAGTTCCAAGCAAAGTATTTCCATACATTTACCTTTTTACCTTTCTTTGGAATGCGTGTTTCTTTTTCTTCTGAGGCTTTCCCAAACTATGCCCAAATATGCATAGTCTTAGAGCGCGTTAAGGCCGGGTTTTTGATATCGGCAGATCGGTTTAAAAATATTATAACCAAGTGTGGATGAAACAGTTCAACTTCACGCCCCATATAGCTCAAATATTTGGACGTTATAATCTTATAGACAGATAAATTAGTTACTGCAATTCTTCAATAAGAATATGGCTCAAGGCCACATGTACGAAAGCTGAGTAGCACTATCCACTCGATATTATAGTTAAATTTTTATAACCGGCAATGGCATCATATGTTTTCAGGGCTATATATGGAACTGCGGAGTATAGCTAACCATTTAATTAATGAAATAATATGACATTTGACTTATATATGGTCTTCATGTGTATACTATACAAAGAATTCGAAGATCGCCGGTCTGCAAAATAGTGATGCATCGATATCCATATCGGTAATTTTGTTGTTGATATTAGCTACCGACATCGTCGTAAACATTACAAGAAAATATATCTCTAGACCAACCAATGTTGCTGTTATTTAAAACTGCTGAAGTCTATCCTAAACGATTTCTGAAATATCGCAAACTACAAACGGAACAAACCTTGCATGTAAACAATGCTACTCGGGCTGTTATTAAATAAGCGCTGTGAAATTTCCAAATTCCAACTTGTCATTGACTTCGCTGAAACTTGATGCTCAAGAAATATGTAGAAGTATACCTCTCTGTTATCAAACCTACGGTAAAATAATCCGACAAAAGCCTACTGAAAGATAAGTCAAAGCATGAATGTTACAAATACTGTATGTGTCACTATGTGGCTGTATATTTGTAACTTATAATTTATGTTTGACATTAGAAAAGTACGGTGGCCCAGAAGTGCAAAACACAAAACAAACAAAGCAAAACAAAAATTACGTTTCTTTATCATTTTTACACTATTTTGATACATTTTTACCCAAAACATGAAACACAACTAACCATTTTATCACATAATTTTCTTTTTTTGTGACACGTTTGAAAACACAAAACACATTTGGAATCACAAAACACATTTGGAAATCACAAAACACATTTAGAAATCACAAAACACATTAGGAATCACAGAACACATTTAGAAATCACAAAACACTTTTGGAATCACAAAACACATTTAGAAATCACAAAACACATTTGGAATCACAAAACACATTTGGAATCACAAAACACATTTAGAAATCTCAAAACACGTTTAGAAATTGGAAATTCCGAATCATAAACAAGTGCTTCCACTTCGTAAATCTGGATTTCCTGTTTTCATCCTTATTTATTTCAGGCGTTTGAAAATTGAAATAGACTATTATCACTGTTATTAAGCCCCAATGGTTGGAATCTAATAGTTTCCTGCCATTATCTTGGCAATTCATTATATTTTCTGCCAATTTCATTCCAAAAAAGATTTCCAGCCATTTGTTCTTGCTAGAGCCCAATATTTCCTTTAGCCAGGAATTTCCTTGCATGTGGAAGCTATGAATTCACAAAAACCATTTGTTACATGAAGTGTTGACGAATGTCTTCAAATTTCAAAATGGCGTCTGGAAATCGTGGGAAAATTGTTTGAAAATATTCTTTTACATCAAACAAAACAATGAAATGTCCAAAATGTTATTCAGATGTTTTAGAAAATATAATGAATTGCCAAGATAATGTCAGGAAACTGTTAGATTCCAACCATTGGGGCTTAATAAGGATCTAAAACTAGGGAGGTCCCTTAAAATAAAAGCCTTAATGCCTTATGGTTTCTAGAAGGTTCCTAGCCCCATGTAAATAGTTTCTATTATATGATTTATTTGTATATATATTAATGTAATTTGGGCGAATAAAAAAAATAATAATAATAATAGTCTATTTCAAACGCCAGATAAGGATAAATAAATAAGGATGAAAACAGGAAATCCAGTTTTATGAAGTGGAAGCACTTGTTATGATTCGGAATTTCCAATTTCTGTGATTTCTAAATGTGTTTTGTGATTCCAAATGTGTTTTGTGATTTCTAAATGTGTTTTGTGATTCCAAAAGTGTTTTGTGATTTCTAAATGTGTTTTGTGATTCCAAATTGTTTTGTGATTTCTAAATGTGTTTTGTGATTCCAAATGTGTTTTGTGTTTTCAAACGTGTCACAAAAAAAGAAAATTGTGTGATAAAATGGTTAATTGTGTGTATCAAAATCAGCGTAAAAATGATAAAGAAACGTAATTTTTGTTTTGCTTTGTTTGTTTTGTGTTTTGCACTTCTGGGCCACCGTAGGTAGTAAAAGGCATATTGTAAACACTGGACTGGACTTTGGACTATGGACTTTGGACTTTGGACTTTCGATTTTGAAATTATATTTTTAAGATTTTCGTATAATTATATTTGTGCATGATATAATAATATTCAAGGTAAAAAATACCATCAGTTATATAGGTATACCAGTGCAATTTCATAGATATAGCCAGTGGGATAACAGGATCATCTCAGTAATATTTTTAATTTAATATTTAAATTTTATTATAATATTTGTATTTATAGTATGTATAGTACAGTTCATACTGCAGAACTTCTTCTTTATCGTATAGATAATAATAGATTTATAGAAACAATTGTGACAAAAGTAGCTTGGCAAATACAAAATATTGAGAAACTAGCACGTATAAGTATAAACTACACGCGATTATTATTGCGCCTTTGGCTTTGAACAATTATTCGCCAAGGCGAAGCCGTGATTATCGGGGAATTTGTAGTCTCCCTCGCAGCCGCCAGTTGTGTCAAATTTGACCAATCAACTTGACAACTTGTAGGATTTGTTATATATTTATTCACTTGCGCAAAAATACTAATAGTACTAATGACGGTATTGTTGATCTTTGCATAATAGTTTACACCGGTTTAGCGCCTGCCTAAATAGACTGTGTTTGCCATGTATTTTGTCTGTGTCAGTTTTAGCTTTTCATAAATATTTCAGCCATAGTGAACACGAAAACTCTCATAATCATCATACTTTATAAAATACGAATGTATGATACATGTATTATTAATTGGTAGTACTGATTACTTTATGATAATCTACTATATAGTATTACTTTATGTATATATTTATGTCTATATTATTGTCTATATGTATGGCTCTTTTGCGTACGTTATGCGGCTGAGCATTAATCTTTATACTACGATTACGATTCCCGCCTGGTTCATCACTTGCAAGTGGTAGTATTGAGGCCCCATTAGGGGTTATCGGGATACAGGATATTTAAGGGGAAAATTAGAGGGATACGGGATACTAAAAGGATACGGGATATTAGAGGGATACGGGATATATATATTGTCCATGTCCTATGTACTCTTTAATTTTGGCATTATAGGGATACAATACTGAATAATTATAGGAATACGGGATATTTGAACGAAAAATAACAGGGATACGGAATACCCATACCCCCCCTAATGGGGCCTCAGTATTACAGTAAGTCCAGTAAACGTGGCAAATAGTTGCTAGACTACCTGAAGCACATAGACATAGATTTTTGCCTTCTCATACACAACTGAGTAGGTCTTAAAAAGTGTGTACATTTCCGTTCGAATATTCCTGTCCATCTACTAACACTTATTAATAATAACTGAAGCATTTAGTCTTAGTGATAAGGATAGCTAACTAGAATGTCTTTCAAAAATAAGTAACATTAACAAAACGTTACTGTGTAACGGAGTAAACAATTACACAATTCAGTACTAGTATAAACTATTATGCAAAGATGAACAGTCACAATACTCAATACTCAATAGGCGCAATAATAATCACTTGTATAGTTAATATTTTGTATTTGCCGAGACACTTTTGTCACATTTGTTTCTGACAATTAATCTATTATCTATATGATAAAGAAGAAGTTCTGCAGTATAAACTGTACTATGCATACTATAAATACAAATATTATATAAAATTTAAATATTAAATCGCAAAATATTGGATAATCCTGCTATCCTACAGGCTATATCCGTATGAAATTGCACTGCTGGTATACCTATATAACTGATACTAGAGATTTTTTACCTTGTATATTATATCATGCATGTGCATGCAGTGTAGCACGCTTTTCAGCAGCAAATTTTCGTTCCCTGTTTAGATTTAAAATTTTTAATATAATTATACGAAAATCTAAAAAAATATAATTTCAAAATCGAAAGTCCAAAGTCCATAGTCCAAAGTCCAAAGTCCAGTCCAAAGTCCAGTCGAGTGTTTACAATATGCCCATTAGAAAATACAAATCATATAATAAATTTGACACTAGATTCACTACTCCAACATCATGGTTAGATACTAAGTATGTATTTAAGTGAAATCTCTCAAATGCTTTCTTTTATTTTCCCCTAGTAAATTAACAGACATTGCATTAAATTAACACTGTCCAGTGGAAATTTCTCGCTTATTACTGTAAGAACATCGATCTACAAATTAGTGAAGCCCTGAATGTCAGAATTTAGCTATTTATGACAGGCTTGACAGCACTATTTCCTATTGAAGAATTACAATATTTATCTGTCTATAAGATTATAACGTCCAAATATTTGAGCTATATGGGGCTTGAAGTTGAACTGTTTCATCCACACTTGATTATAATATTTATAAATCGATCTGCCGATATCAAAAACCCGGCCTTATTAACGCGCTCTAAGCTATGCATATTTGGGCATAGTTTGGGAAAGCCTCAGAAGTAAAAAAAAACGCGCATTCCAAAGGGAGAAAGGTAAATATATGGAAATATTTTGCTTGGAACCCACGCCTTTTTATTCGGGACCCACGCCTTTTAACCCACGACCCACGCCCTTTTACCCACGACCCACGCCTTTTTACCCACGACCCACGCCTTTTTACCCACGACATTCGACCCACGACCCACGACTGTTAGCTAGTCCCCTTGCTCACTATGACAATAATCCGTAAAGCCACGACGACCTCAAAATGTACTATACTATACTATAGTCTGATGTCAATCCGAAGTTCAGAATACTGTTATAGTTTCGTATAATGGATT